CCAAAATAAAGAAAAATAAAGAGACAACAAGAAGCCATCTATTTTTCCCAGACAAAAAGATTTTAGTCATTCTTTACTATATCTTTTGCTTTGGAGCAAATGGATTTATGTCAGATATATTTGAAACTATGTTTGCATCACAAATAACATTTGAATTTGAAGTGTCATTCGAAGATTTGAAAAGGGTTCTCTTTGTTGGAGGCGACCAATTTTCCTCAGGCGAGTTTGTATGGATACTTTTTTCAACATTTTCTTGGCTATTTTCACTTGGAGTGTTTCTATCTTCTAAATTTGTCAAATCTATCATGGAGATGATGTCTACTAAGTATATTTTATACACTTATTCGGTACCTTAAAATGAAGATATTTGATGGTTCTTTTGACAAATTATATTCTAAATTGTTGTTTCTTATTTTCAATAGGTAAATTCTATGAATGAAAAGGGAATTGAAGGAATGAAGCAAAAAAAATAGAGCGAAATCCAAAAGTTGGGGACCAAGTTGTAAAAATTTAATAGTTGATTCGGACCATGAATCGAAGATTGAAATGTTTGGAGGTCAAATTGAATAATTTAGAAAGTGAAGGACTTGGATTGAACCAACAAATACATGGGTTGCAAGAATAAAAGGGCTCAAGGATTGAAATTTATTATATTGAAAAGACTAAGGACTTGAAGTGCAATATAACATTAATGGCTTGAATTGGAACCTTTTCCTAGTCAGATATTGTGGCTGTGAAAGAAAAAAAAAATGTAGGAGACAAGAATTGGAGGCCTACTAGGTTTGGGCCAAATGTTCCTGGAAATTCTTGCTGCCATTGGACCATTTGTGTCTATATGCATCAGGATCCCGATTCATGGATTTCTTGGTTCGACCAATCAAACCTATTTCTCGATTCAATAGAAGCTCAAAGAGGTGAATAGGGTCCCACACCGATTTTAACGCCCAAACCATGATATGAAATAAGTCAGTCAAAAAAAAAATGAACCTTTTCTCTCCCCTCCCCAGTCATTTCATTTCGGGTTAAGAATAGGGATGACAGTTTGAACCGTCAAAATCGAAAACCAGGGTTAATCGAACCGAATGAGGCAAAAGAAATCGAACCGATGGTGCAATGTGGCGGATATGATTTTTATTTTAATGAACCAGTTCTTGGCGGTGCGGGTATGGTATTTACGCCGTCGAACCGAAACCGAACAAAAAAATAATAATAATAATAATTGAATTGATTATTGGGCTTTACCCTTCTTTTCTATCTAACCCAAAACAAAATCCCCCCTCCCCCCAATTACATCTACATGACTCAGCCAATCAATCCACTTATCATTAGCCCATAATAATAGCATTAGTATGACATTATATAAATGCAAACCCTACTCTTCACAAACCACAAACTCACGCACGACTCCTTTTATTGTTAATTTTTTTCAATTGTGTGTAGAAAATTCTACTTCATCATCATACTCTAAAACTTATGCAATGTTTAGCGAGAAGAAAGCTGACAAAGAGGTATATTTTTTTTATTTAAATCTTAGTTAAAACCATTCTAGAATAGATAGTATCATTGTATTTTCTATTTACATTTTTTATTTACTATATAAGAATTAACTTTGAGTGTTGATCTATGCTAGTAACATTTGTGGGGAAGAATGAATCAAATAATTTCGATGCACAATAATTAAGAATGAAGGAAAAGTTTAGTATTTTTATATTTATAATATTGTTTGTTAAATTTATATTTTACAATTAAAAATTGGGATAATGTCTGCTTTTTCGTTTGAAATATTGTTTGATAATGTTTGCATTTTCATTTAAATTATTGTGTTTTTGTTTTCAATGACTTTTTTTATAAATTATTTTATATCAATTTGATAGATGAAGCTATAAAAAATAACTTATTTTAGTGGTTATTAACCGAACCGAACCGTGCCGAACTGATATAATAACCAAACCGAGCCGAACCGATTTACGTGGTTATGGTGCGGTTATGGTATGGTAAAAAAATTGGTAGTGCGATTATGGTTTTGGCCGAACCGACCCATAACCGAACCGTTGCCAACCCTAGTTAAGAAGATGTGAAAGCGCGTTTATCTCTATAAAAACGGTGTGTTCCGAGGTGTGAAGTGGGAGATTCCGTTTTCTTTTTATAAGGGCTAAAATCACTTATTTTGGCTTTTTTACCCCATATTGTATGTGTGTGTGTGTACACACACACACACACATACAAACCTGGGAGTTAGGAATTCAATTGTGAAAGAAAAAGAGAGGACCGACAGAGGAATTTAAAGACGGCTGCTGTTGGAGTCAAACAAGGCGGCACGGACTGCAGTTTCACTTTGAAAAATTTATCACGTTACATCAGGAACAAAGGCAGAAAAAAGACGGCTAGAGCAAAATTGGGAAATTCATTCATGTTTCGTCAATTAATCCCGGTGATATCTTCCATTATTTTATCTTGTGTTTCTTCCATTATTATGAGTAGCTAGATTTGATTTAGGGCGAACAACGTAATCTTTTGGAACCCTTTATTTCATGCAATTAAGATTCTAGTGCTTTTATTTAATATGTATTGATTTTAATGTTGTTCTTAATGCATTTAATTACTTGATCACTAGTTAGATGATTTGTGAACAATGATTACGTAGAGATGCGAATTATTTGTTTAGACCACATGTTAAAATCCGGTCAATTGATATAACGTGTAGAGATACCTATATTGATTGCTGCGGTCGTGTGCGAATTCTCAAAAACAATGTTACGTTTAATTAAATTTAATTTGCATAGAGATATGGAATTGAACTAATTAAATAGGCTCAACGAGAACTCGAGAGGGGTAAGTTGAATACAATAAAAGAATTCGACCGAACACTATTTTAATTTTATGAATCTCAATATTATAAATAAAGGTGACCAATAGGTGAAGTTGTTCTACCCTAATCTCCATTTATTATCTGAATTCTCACTAATTTTCTGTTATATTCCCGAGATTTTTAGTAGTTAGATTTAAAAATCACAGTCAATCAAATATATATATTTTTATTTATATTCATCAAATAGGAGTTAGGAATAATAAATTGAGTACTAAACCATAGTCCTCGTGGAAACGATAATCCGGACCCAAAAGATCCACTTTACTACTTGTTACGATCCGTCCACTTGTGGGATAAAATCAACAACAAGTTTTTGACGCCGTTGTCGGGGATTATTACTTTTAGTCTTAATTTATTTTTTCTATTTTAATTTTTAATTTTTATTATATTTGTTTATTTTCTTTTATTTACAAAAAAAAAACTGTGTTCGTTGTATGCTCTGTGCCCAAGGCGATAATTTTGAACCGTTTGATTCGAAAATAGAATGTACCTTCAGACGAAGACGAAGGGAACACAAACAAAAATAGCAGCATCAAATGGTTGACAATCTAAACCATCCTATTCCTATACAGCCAATTGGACAAATGGCCGCGAGAACTCAACAACAAGAGCAAAGGGAAGTAAATGAAGGGGACTTGCCAATTTCTATGTTTTTGATGCCTATGGCAACACCCGCGCGGTCCAGCATAGTATATCCAGAGTTTGGGGTAAACAACTTCCAGATACGGGCTAATTGGATTAATTTGATGAGCAACACTCTGCAATTCTACGGGTTACCTCATGAGAATCCAAACACACATATCTCAAGGTTTCTCAGGAATTGCCAGAATTGTCATGCTCTTGGGGTTAATGAGGATGCCATCAAGCCGCGATTATTCCCATATACACTGAGAGATATAGCTTTGGAATGGCTGGATACCGAACTGGATGGAAGTATTACCACATGGGAGGAACTAACTAGGAAATTTTGCAATAAGTTCTTTCCACCAGCTAAGGTAGCAAAAATCAGACTAGAAATTCAAACTTTTCAACGAAGAGATGGGGAGAGCTATCACGAGGCATGGAACAGATTTAAGGAGTTGATGATGAAGTGTCCAAATCATGGGATCACTATTGGAAATCAAGTGCAGTATTTCTACATGGAACTTTCACCACTGTCCAAATCTCAAGTGGATTCCTTTGCAGGTGGATCGATCATAGGAAAATCAGTGTAGCAATTTATGGATCTATTTGAGTTGATTGCTACTACTCATTCCATGTTTTCATTAGAAAGAGTAGTGCCTCCAAAAGCAGCGGGAATATATGAATTAGACAATACAGCATCTACCAACGTCCAAATAGTAGCATTGACAAAACAAATAGAGTTATTAGTGAAGTCACAAACAAAATGAGTACATGCAGTGGTAACTGGCCCATCTTGCGAAAACTGAGGGGCAAATCACCTAATAGAAAATTGCACATCTATGGGCTTTCCGGAGGAACAAGTCAACTTCATTCAAAATGGCTCTCGAAATTTTAATCCCTTTTCACAAACATATAACCCAGGATGGAGACAATACCAAACTTCATATGGTCGGATAATCAGCAAGGGAACAGTTCAAACAATGCACAACAGGAGAAAACACCAAGTTTGGGGGAGATATTCAACCAGTACATGTAGAAGACAGACAAGGTGTTCCAGCAGATTGACACTAACTTTCATAATCAGCAAGCATCCATTAAGAAGCTGGAAACTCAAATTGGTCAGATTACTCAATAGCTTGCAGAACGCCCACAAGGGACATTGCCAGGCAACACAATGGCCAATCCAAAAGAGCAAGTGCAAGCTATTATGACTAGAAGTGGAGTGCAACTTCCCGAGATACATGTGAAGAGACTAGATAGAAAAGACAAAGAATTAATGAATAAAGAGGCTGGGACAGAAACAGAGTCTGAACAACCAACTAACGAGGAGGATAAAAGGAAAGAAACACCCACAGCGAGAGCACCTAGCCCTGTGAAAGCTTATGTGCCACCAATTCCCTTCCCTTAGAGGCTACAGAGAAAGAAATTAGACAAGCAGTTTGCCAAGTTTGTGGAGATTTTCAAGAAACTGCACATTAATATTCCATTTGCAGATGCAATTGTCCAAATGCCCAGCTATGCTAAATTCTTGAAGGAGATCCTGTCTAACAAAAGAAAGCTGGAAGAACATGAGACAGTCTGCCTGAACGAGGAATGCAGTGCAATTCTATTGAAAAAGCTACCTCCTAAACTAAAAGACTCAGGGAGTTTCACGATACCTTGCAAAATTGGTTCTAATTATTTTGAACATTCTTTATGCGATTTGGGTGCCAGTGTTAATTTAATGCCTCTCTCTATTTACAGGTCTCTTAGATTGGGAGGGGCAAAACTTACAACAATCTCATTGCAACTGACTGATAGATCAATCAAACGATCGAAGGGGATTATTGAAGATGTGCTAGTGAAAGTTGATAAATTCATTTTTCCGGCTGACTTCATCCTATTGGACATGGAGGAGGATTCAAACATCCCTCTAATCTTGGGAAGACCCTTCTTGGCTACCGGAAGAGCGCTAATTGATGTTTACGATGGAAAGATGATTCTTTGAGTGGACAATGAGCAAGTCATATTCAACATGTTCAAGGCGATGAAACATCCACTAACTTCAGACACATGTTGTCAAGTAGATGTTCTTGAAGAGTTGATGGCAGATACATTTGAGACAGAGCATCAAACAGTTCTTTGTGAAGCAGAATTGTACAATCGGAAGCAGTAAGTGTAGAAAAAACTGAACCTGTCGTCAACTTGGCTAAGCAACCAATAGGAAGAAGACATTGGCAGTATGAATCTCTTGGTGACAACCATTCACCCCCAATACCTTCAGTAGAAAAGGCACCCACTCTTGAACTAAAGCCCTTGCCTTCACATCTCCATTATGCATATTTGGGAGAATCTACAACACTTCTAGTAATTATTGCAAATGACATGACAATGGAAGAGGAGAATAAATTGTTGGAGGTACTCAAGCAACACAAAATGGCAATTGGATAGACAATAGCTGACATCAGAGGAATAAGTCCAACTCTTTGTATGCACAAGATTCTAATGGAGGACGGATCAAAGCCATCAGTGGAAGGACAACGCAGATTAAATCCAACCTTGAAAGAAGTAATGCGAAAAGAAGTGCTGAAATTGTTGGATGCAGGTATTATCTATCCAATCTCCGATAGTTCATGGGTGAGTCCAGTGCATGTTGTGCAAAAAAAGGGTGAAATCACAGTGGAGAAGAACGTGAACAACGAGCTGATATCAACATGGTTAGTGACAGGATGGAGAGTATGTATAGATTATAGAAAGCTAAACAATGCAACCAGAGAGGATCATTTTCCATTGCTATTCATTGATCAGATGTTGGAGAGGTGGCTGGTCATTCTCATTACTGCTTTCTGGACGGATATTCTGGGTATAATCAAATAGTTATTGCTCCAGAAGACCAGGAGAAAACAACCTTCACATGTCCCTATGGAACTTTTGCGTTTAGATGGATGCCTTTTGATTTATGCAATGCACCCGCAACCTTTCAACAGTGCATGATGGTCATATTCTTTGACATGGTGAAAAAAAATATCGAGGTATTCATGGATGATTTTTCTGTGTTTGGAGATTCATTTGATGACTGCTTGGATCGGTTGACTCTTGTACTACAAAGATGTGAAGAAAAGAACTTAGTGCTAACTTGGGAAAAATGCCATTTCATGGTAAAAGAGAGGATAGTGCTAGGCCACAGGATTTCCTCAAAGGGCATTGAAGTTAACAAAGCCAAAAGACAAGTGATTGAAAAATTGTAGCCTCTTAATTCAGTTAAGGGGATCAGGAGCTTCTTAGGACATGCAGGGTTTTACAGAAGGTTTATTCAAGATTTTTCAAAAATTACAAAACCTCTGTGTAATCTATTGGAGAAGGATGTGCCATTTCACTTTTCTGATGAGTGCTTGAATGCCTTTAACACTTTGAAAGAAAAGTTAACTTCGGCACCTATAATAGTAGCACCTGATTGGGATCTAACTTTCGAACTTATGTGTGATGCTAGTGATTTTGCAGTGGGAGCGGTGCTTGGCCAACGTAAAGGCAAAGTGTTACATGTAATCTACTATGCCAGCAAAACCTTGACATATGCTCAGATCAACTACACAACAATGGAAAAAGAGATGCTAGCAGTGGTCTTTACCTTCGACAAATTTCGTTCCGATCTGATTGGTTCAAAGGTGATAGTCTACACTGACCATGCATCATTGAAATATCTTTTTGAGAAGAAGGATGCTAAACCTAGGCTAATTCGATGGGTTCTGTTACTGCAAGAGTTTGACATTGAAATTCGCGACAAAAAATGTACAGAAAATCAGGTACCAAATCATTTATCAAGGCTAGAGCAACTCCATGATTCAAATGATGTGGATATTAATGAGGTCTTCCTAGATGAGCAGTTATTGCAGATAGAAAAGGCTCCATGGTATGCAGAAATTGTTAATTACTTAGCTAGTGGCTATATGGATCCCGATCTCACCTATCAGCAGAAAAAGAAGTTGATTCATGAAGCGAAATTTTATTATTAGGATGATCTAAATTTATACAAAAGAGGGGCAGACTAGATCATTAGGAAATGTGTGCCAGAGGAAGAGATGAAACCTATCCTTTCACGGGTTCATGCTTTGACTTATGGAGGACACTTTGGCCCCACTAAAATAGCAGCAAAGGTGCTTCAATGTGGTTTCTTTTGGCCTACATTATTCAAGGATTGCCATAGTTTCTGCAGATCATGTGATAAATGTCAAAGAAGAGGTAACATATCAGCGCGTCACGAGATGCCACTTAACAACATTTTGGATGTGAAAATATTTGATGTCTGGGGGGTCGATTTTATGGGTCCCTTTCCATCATCTTACAACAATCGGTACATCCTAGTGGCAGTGGATTATGTCTCTAAATGGGTAGAAGCTAAAGCATTGCCTACAAATGATGCGAGAATAGTAGTGGACTTCATAAAGAAACACATCTTTAACCGCTATGGATCACCTAGGGCCATAATAAGTGATAGTGGAACTCACTTCCCTAATCGGTTATTCCAGGCAATGCTACATAAGTATGGCGTACATCGAATTGCCACTCCTTATCACCCTCAGATAAGTGGACAGGTGGAAACCTCGAACAGACAGTTGAAAATAATTCTAGAGCTCACTGTGAATGCATCCCGCAAGGATTGGTCAAAGAAATTAGACGATGCTTTATGGGCATATCGCACTGCGTACAAGACACCTATTGGGATGTCCCCATATCTACTAGTCTTTGGAAAAGCATGTCACCTACCAGTGAAGTTTGAACATAGAGCATACTAGGCATTGAAAAAGTTAAATATGGACCTCGAAAAGGCTGGAGAAATAAGAATACTGCAGCTACATGAATTGCAAGAATTCAGAAGAGAAGCATATGAGAATGCAACCATCTACAAGGAAAGGACGAAGCAGTGGCATGACAAAAATATTAGGCAAAGAATTTTTAGAGTAGGAGATCAAGTGCTTTTATACAATTCCAGACTTAAACTGTTTTCAGGAAAGTTGAAATCTAGATGGTCTGGCCCTTTTACGGTCTCTCAAGTGTTTTCCTACGGCACAGTTGAATTACACCATCCAACAAAAGGAAACTCCAAAGTAAATGGCCAACGTATCAAGCACTACGTGGAAGATTTTTCCACCGCTAAAGAGAGCCTTGACCTAGCTGTACCAGAATAAGAGAAGTACAAAGTCTAGCTAACGACTTAAAAGAAGCGCTTATTGGGAGGCAACCCAATTTTCAAACATTTTATTTTGTTTTTCATATTGCATAGCATATAATTTTGTTTTGTTTACTAGATTGCATTAGATCTAGGTACGTTTCAATTTTTAGAAGTCATCACCCATATCCCTTCCGCCCTCAGGTCCTTGAATTTATTGTTGGTTATTTTGATTGTTTGAGCTAAGTAACCCTTGTTCCTTATATTTAATTTGTCAAATTTGATTTTTCAGGAACATGAGGTCGTGGAACACTCAAATCAACATAGATCCAAGGGAAAGCATGATAAAGAATATTATCCAGTCGTCTCACATATTGCCTCACACATTCAACATACAAATTTGGGGAGTACCTTCTTCTTTTTCTTCCCTACCCCCTTTATGTGATTATTTATGTTTTATGACATTGAGGGCAATGTCAGTTTTAAAGTTTGGGGGTGAAAAAAAACTTTTAGTTTTAGTTTTTGTGTTTTTTTGTGTTTGTTAAAAAAAAGAAAAAAGAAAAAAAATCAAAAATTTAAAAAAAAATTATTTAGTTGTGTGCTTGTGTGGGTTAGATAGTCTGGCAGACAATGATGATTTAATTTGAGTTTTGGTGTTGATTTATGAACTGTGGATATGGTACATACTAGACTAATTGAAGCTCAACCTTGCAAAATTTGATACTACAGGCGCACTAGAATTGAGTTTGACATTGTGATTAAATGAGTTATTTCTTGCTTTTGATAGGTTGATCTAGTGGGACATAGATGCTTTACCGGAGCTATATTAAATTATTTATCCTTAGACCAAATTTAGCACAGTTTGGGGGTGACTTTATAGTTGTAGGAAGATGCAGATGTGAATGTGGATTCCATGTGTGAAAACTTATATGTGGATTGTCTTAGATTAACATGATAAAATTTTGCGAAAGTATTAAGTTAGAGGTCGATTTGTTTGAATAAGTGTGTAATAAGGGGCATTGTACTAATCAAGGTATATACATTTGAAAATTTTAAACTTCTCTTTGAAACCTTTATGACTCGAGTGATTAAGCCTGTAAGGGTATCTTAAATTCTGGTGCCCTAAAGTCATCTGACTTGGGAGCCATCGGCTTAAAGCTCATTACAAGGGTCATTTAGAAAGCAATTAGAGACGAAGTTGCACTTGAAAAAAAAATTGTTGTTCTCTTCGAAACCTTTTTGACTCGGGTCAGTAAGCCTGTAAAGATATTTAGAAACCTGGTGCCCTAAAATCATCTGATTTGGGAGTCATCGACTTAAAGCCTGCTACAGAAGTCATCTAGAATGCTTAATGGAGAGAATATATGTAATAAAAAAAGAGAGAGAGAAAAGTTGTGAAAAACAGAAATGCAAGTGCATGAAAAGAGCAAAAGCACTAAATACTTTGGTTAAGCCCTAACACTTATTTGAGGGAATTTGACTTTTGATGCAAGATAATTAGCTAGTTGAGTATTGGAGGTCGAAGCAATCAAATAATTGGAGAACTCCTTGTTCACTGAAGTGTTGACTTGTAACTAGTAACATTCACCTAAACTCGAGAGGGTGAGGATAGTAATGAAATATTCAGCCTTAGATTAGGTCGAGAATTGAAACAACTTGTACAGTCATGGTTGATTACTCGATTCTTCACACACACACGTTAATTTTTGTATTAGAAGAGTGGATATTAGTTTGGAACTGTGACTTTAAAGCATGTTTATAGAGTAAACACTAAATCTTGAATCCTGAGGTGAGAAGCTAGATTGTCCAACCGAATATTTTTGCATGCTTGTATGTTAATT